GTCACCGGCGCTGAGAGCGGCGCTGCGACAGGCCAAGCTTCGATCACGCTGCTCGCAGTCCGTTTCGCAATTCGATTCTCAGTCGCAGCTACAGCTCCCGCAGCAGCAGGAACGGACCCGTGGGTCGTTTCTGCTACAGCCCAACACGCTCGTGTCTTCCTCTGTAGCGTCGTCCGCCGCAACCTCGGCTGTAGTCGTCACCATTGGCACCAATGTGCCGTCAGCTGGAGTGAATTCCGGGCTACAGTCGCAACAGCCGCCGCCGCCGCCGCCGTCGCGGGCCAGCCTGGCGGCGGCGCTGGCGCACACAGGCGACGGCTCGCTCAGCGCCGCATCCTGGCTACAGCCACCACCGCCGGTGACGCCGCCGCCACCGTCGCGAAACAGCGTCCCGCAGCAGCAGCGGCCGGAGCAGCAGCAGATGTTGACTCAACAGCTATCCGAGTCGTACGGATCTCAATATGTCGTATCCACGTTGCAAAACATGTACGGCGGATCTACAGGGCTGAGGCCGCAGCTGCAAGCCGGGACGTGGGGTCAGGAAAGGTCGATGCCGACGCCGACGCCGCCGACGACGACGACGCAGCAGCAGAGGCAGGCGGAGGTGTTGGCGGAGAGCGGCTACCGGGTGCTGCTACAGCTGGCAGCCGCCTGGTCCCCGCGCGCCGGTGATTCCTGTGCAACCACAGCAGCGAAGTGGCTCGCCGCAGCCGCCGCCGTCGCCGTCGCCGCAGCTGCCGTCGCCGTCGCCGCCGCCGCCGCCGCAGCAGCAGCCACCGCCATCACAGGTCGAACCTGCTGCCCCAGGAGGGGTAGGAGGGCGGCCTGGCGTATCCGGCAGTCGTACGACACCGCTGCTGTTGCCGTCGCTGGAGAAGTCGCCAAGTCGCCGAAAAGGTTCACAGCTGGCGGTGACGGCACGTCCTCACTGTACGGCGGCGCCCGTGTAGCCACGGCGGCGGCGCCTTCCGCCGCTGATCGCGCTACTTGGGCGCTACAGGGTGGTGGCGGCAGCCGCCTCAATGACGTGCGTGGCGTGCTGCGTGATGGAAAGGATGGTATCGGAGCGGGATGCCGTGATGTCCGGGAAGCCGAGCCAGAGAGGGTGTCTCTGTCTCCTGGGCGCGGAGGCCGCAGCGGCAGCGGAGGCGCGAGGCGGCGGAGGCGAAGGCTCGGAGAAGGGCATTACCCTTGGCGGCGGCGACGGAGGCGACGGAGATGATGAAGACGACGGAGGCAGTGGCGGCGC